TTATTAATAGAAGGGAAGGAGTCGGTTAACTATTTCCTTTCTGTGGCTTTCAGCCTTTAAGGCGACCTCTATACATCACTACCAAATATAAAAAAGTACCAAATAAATATAAATTTCCAGTTCTTTCATATGATTCACAGCCTCATGCCTGAAGCAAATCTGCAAGACCAGACATTATTTCACAGTGTTACGGGTTGAACTGTGTCACTGGAAAAGCTATGTTGAAATCCTAGCCCTATCATACCCCCGTTGCTACTGTTTAGTCATGTAGTCATGTTCAACTCTTTGCAGCCCCATGGACTGCAGCACACCAGCCTCTCCTGTCCTTCACTGTCTCTGGGAGTTGGCGCAATCATCTCTCAGAATGTGACTTTATTTGAGGATACAGTTGTTACAGTTTTAATTTGCTAAGTGAAGATATACTGGAGTAGGGTGGATCCGTAACCCAAAATGCTGACCTCCTACAAGCAGACAGAAATTGAGATACAGACAGAGAAGGAAGATAGCCACGTGATGACTGAGGCAGAGATTAGAGTTATGCTATCCAAGGAATGTACAGGGCTACCAGAAGCTGGAAAAGGTGAGGAAGGATCGTTTCCTAAACTCTCCAGAGGCATTATGGCTCTGTCAACCTTGATTTTGGACTTCTTATTCTCAAAACTGTAAGACAATTTTGTTTCAAGCCACTCCATCTGTGTTGTTAAAGCAGCTCCAGGAAACCAACACAGTTTTACAAGTCCTCTAAACTTCTGGCTCCAACTTCAGGACTCACTTTCCCATTACCACTTCACCCAGCCCTTAGATTTAAAGCTGAACTGCTTTCTCTGGTTTTAGTTTTTATCTCTTAACTATAATTAATGATCATCCCCCAAGATTTTATGAGACAGGTACACTAGAGCCAGCCCATACCAGTTTATAGCAACCAATTGGAATTTTGTAAGCCAATTGCTAAACACAGCCATAATTTTAAAAATTGCATTGCCTAAGCTTTAAATTAGGTGAATTATACTAAATCAACAGTAATGAATATCAAAACTCATCACTTCCTAATTATTTGACTGCATTTTACTACAATCTGTGCTCTTGACACTACTTATGTCAATTTATCTGTTTGGTGGAAACAGTAGGGAAAAAAATATACTACTGCCCATTTTTTTCCAAATCACACTGGAAGCTTAAAATCAGCTACGGTGGAAATATTTACACCATGAAAACTGTCAAAAGCTACAAGTCAGCAATTTCTATATTTTCAAACAGTTAATTGTAAACATTTACCAGCACTCCACTGAAACAACCTTTAAGTCCATTCAAACTGGGATGGCTACAGAAGAAAAGAGCAAGTTAGGTTTATTAAAGATATCTATTTTCTGGGCCCTGCTATACACCATTCAAATTCAGAGTTTAGGACATCAAGTAAAAGGAAATAAAAGACTCTATTACAAACAATGAAGGCAGAGAGATTTGACAGGGATTATGAAGAGGGGATAAGACAGACTTAAATGCTGGTGACCTACTTTTAGTATTGTCTAGTGAACCTCTCAGGAAAGTGTTTAGCTCTGGTAATAAATATTAATTAGATCCCAATCAGAGTACTATGTAAAGGATCTGTGCTTCTTAGGAGGAGATATTTCAGAAATATATGGATATATAGAGCATACACATGTATAAGTTGTTCAAGTTGGTAACAAACCAGATGATTTTACTTAGTAAAACAGACCCAACTCAGCTACAAAATTATACACAAATTGAATGACAATAAACAGGCCGGGGAAAATCTTTGCAGCTTTAGCAGATCTGTAATGCCACTATGTATGAATAAGATTAAGTTTTGCTATGACACCTTTCTTGTAAACACATCATCAGCTGAACAACAACAAAAAAGAACACTACCTCTAAACATTTAAAACAAAGATTGAAAGAACACCACACCCACTAAATATAAAAGATACTTCCTGAAATTATTAAAGGTAACCTGAGGCTGTTAACTGCTTGTTATTCCTCTGAACTGTGGGGAGTGGAATCTCAGGTTAGAGACTTTGTCCTAATCCTTGAACTCTGTGCCAGCACAGCTGGGAAAGCCGAAAACTTCCAATCAGAGACACAGAAAAGGTAGAAGACCTGTTGGTTGTTTGTTTTTTCCTTTCACCACAAGGCCAGCAGCAGATTAAAGAGTGAGATTACTCACAACATACACAGTCTTAGAGAGTGTACTTTTGCTCTAAACACTGTCTCATACCAGGAAGTGTTCTAAGGGTGGAATGTGTGAAGCTTACATCACATCACTCTGTTTTTGTGACTGAGGCATTCTTTTAAAACTTGTCATCTGAGTCCAACAATGTTCCCACTTCATTAGCTACTGGATATTTTAAAATGATAATAAATAAGAGGCTCTCTTTCTTTCTCTGTGAACACAATCCAACTGGGGAAGAAACACAGTCTCTTAAAGTTCCCCATAGTTTAATGACCAGTCTTAGATTCCTAGCTAGTCACTCAGTGTCTGACTCTTTGCAACTCCATGAATGGTAGCCTAACAGGCTCCTCTGTCCATGAAATTCTTTAGACCAGAATACCAAGTGTTTCGCCATTCCCTTCTCCAGGAGATCTTCCCTACCCAGGGAAGGATCAAACTCAGGTCTCCTGCGTTGCAGATGGATTCTTTACCATCTGAACCACCAGGGAAGTCCTAGATTCCTTAGGCATTTAAACGGATAAAGGGCAAATACAGCACAAATATAATGCAGTCAGATAAAGGATGCATTTAATAAAGTAATCTGGGTTTAGAAAATTATATTACAAATACAAATAATACAGTAACCCTAACTTTAACTTTTAGGATTTCACTTTTCAATATATTAGGCTTGGGGAAACAGCCTGAATTTAGGTTGTTGCTGGAAGATGCAATGAATTATGGAAATAAGAGGTGGTTGGAGATGGATGAAAAAAGCAGAAGTAGGAAGGCAACACTGCTAAGACTGAGGGCTTAGCAAAATACAGGGAAAAAAAAATTTCTAAGAGTTTTTCTCTATTTTTTTTTTCTCTTTACTCCCCCTGTGCCCTCTTCTTGTTGATGACCTTACTTACTTCTCAGCCCGCATCTTAGACCCAGTACTGCAGTTCTTATCAACTAATCCCCCAAATCAATGTGTGATATAGGGCTAACAGCAATTAGTTAAAGCTCTCACACATTTTTTTTTTCATCATAGAAAAATCTTGAAAACAAAATATTCTCAAGACCTAAAAGTAAAAAAGACCATTATTTTTGAATATTTTGGGTAAGGAATGTCCTCAGATCAAACCAAATAAAGCCATAGTGATAAGGTTCATACAATCTATTAGAGCCTGCTAAGACTACTGTGATTCTAACATGCTCTGAAAATGATCATTTTGGCATTCAAAAATCTCTATTTTAAAGTAAAATGTCATAAAGCATTAAGTTGAGAAATTTTAAAGGTATAACATAACCAAACTTTTCCTAAAACATTTATGTTTGTTTTATATTGCACTGGAACAAAGTATTAATTTACATATAGATCACATTTTTACTTTTGGAGATGCTTTCTCTGCAGAAATCTAAAACAGAAAAAAAAAAAACATTTTCTATTTTTTAATTACCTTTAGTATCAAACAAACATTTTACTGTCTGTGACTCACAGCAAAGAGGTTTTCCCTTTTTGTACAGTTGCATCGACGATAATTTAAAAATAATCTATTTTTATGGACCAGTTCAAGTTAGATACTGTGTTTGTATGCTACTATTCTCAACCAGCCCTGTGCTGAACTTTGTAAGGGCTTTATGACAAAAAAAAATTATTAAAAAAGAAAAAAACCTCTTCATTATAATTCTTACCCAATGAGCTTGTAGTTTTCCAAATTTAGGACAAAGCATGAAGTTTTATCAGTGAGTTGAGATTTAGTTTTGTTCCCCTTTGATTGGGTCACTTAATTTACAGCTTTTTTTTTTGTTTGTTTCATTTCTGTTTAAGAGAAGAAATAACCTATAATTTCTGACATGCTGACAAGAGAACTTTAGCAACTTTCTCCCCGATATGAAATATTTCACTCAGAAGGCCTATTTTCTATCCTTAGGCTTCCTGGATGTGGCTCTGCTAAAAACATACTCTAAGATGTACCTGCCCATGTTCTCATAAGTGTAAAACCTAAGTGATGTCTCTGGGAAAGACCAAAAACACAAGTACTTATTTGTCCCAGAAAGAGAGGGGGTCCCTATTTTGAAAAATCCTAATGGAATCCCAAATATTAGTTTGGTAGACTGAAAAATAGTACCCTCTGCTTGAAGATTCTTAACACAAATTCAATGTTAAATCAAAAATTATAATCCGAGTTCATAATAACTTATTTGGTAGAAGTGTCTCAGATCCATAGACAGCATGCTTTGGGTTTCTTTTAAATAACTGAAAAAAAAAATAAGATAAATTACCAAAGACATTTTTTTACTAGTTATAGTCAATATTCTTCCTCCATAATTAAGGTAAAGTATCTCAGCAACTTTCCCCTTTTAAAATCTACCACTCAATAATCATATAGATTATTCTGGCTATTTAATTTTTCACATCTGCTTGTGCTGCCATAGTGTAACATTTGATAAGATAATTAACTGGTTGCACACTCAATGAACTTCTAGTGGGATTATTACACCTTACATTAGTACAAAATTATTAGGAAAGGCTTCTGAAGCAAACTTTTTGCCATATAGGAAGATGAGGGATGGGGAATGATACTACAGTTGAAGACATTTTTCTGCCTCTAATATTTGTTACCAGTTCTAGAAGTTGTAGTTACCCGGAAATTTTGAAAAACTGAACCGAAAGTCTAATCAAAGTATAAGTGCTTTCAACTAAGACAGGACGTTGAAACTACAGGGAGCAACAGGGGTGGGAAATTTTCTGTTGCTCTTTTTGCCTGTGCTTTACGGTACAAGGGTTGGCCCTGGTTTGGTCCACCTGCCAAGCAGAGTTTAAAGTTTCCGAGGCTTGCAGGAACACAATGACTTGGATCTAACAGCCTAAATGGGAAGATGGGAATTTCTGCAGCATTGAGGAAGCCGTTAAACTCCTGTTAAGCAAACTTTTTTTTTTTTAATGTGTCTGTGCACACGACAGACCTCTCTCACGGACCAGAAATTATTTCTGATAATCCAGGATATACCAAAAGCTTGAAGACATATGGCTGGGAAATGAAACAACCCTGGAGTGTGGCCACATCATTATTTTGTGTCGCATGGTACCAGATGGACAGTTGGTGAATGGCGCTGGGATGTGAATGGACAGTTTTATAACGTGAATTTTTCCCCCATAGAGCTGAAACAGACATTTCCCTCTCTTGTCTTTTGGTCTCTAGCACTCGGAATTTCCCCCTCTCTGCAATATCAATTAACTCAACTTTGCAGTGGGGTGGCCAAAAAGGAAGAGGATGAAGAGGGCTTTATAATCTTGTAAGTGCTGGGCGAGTCACAGCGCCCCGGGAACTGCGGCTGCGACCCGCCGCGTCCTGTGCGGATTTCAGGACACACCGCGCGCAGGCGGTTATGGAGTGGACAGTGCATTTGAACCACGGAGGATAGACACCCGAGCTCGGGAGGGGTGTGCCGATCTCCAGGCAGCCTTGGAGGCCGCTGCTGACTCTCGCCTTAGCATTTGATTACCATTTTCATCGTTCTTGAAAAGTCATGGAAGACGGCCCGCTGCCCGACCTCAGAGACATCGAGCTGAAGCTGGGACGCAAAGTGCCCGAGAGCCTACTGCGCTCGCTCCGCGGGGAGGAGCCGGTCCCCCCGGAGAGGGACCGAGACCCCGGAGGGGGGAGCGGGGGCGGCGGCAGCGGCTGCAGCAGCACCAGTAGCCGCTGCAGTTTCCCACTCTCCTTGTCGTCCTCCTCGTCGTCCTCCCCAGCCTCTGGCTCCCCACAGCCCAGCCACCCCAGTAGCACCCTGGAGAGGCTGGAAACCAAGCTTCACCTCCTCAGGCAAGAGATGGTGAGTGTGGTGCGCCCGGCGGTGGGAGTGGGAACCCAACTGCTGGTTCTGAAAACAATGGCTCAGTCGTCCTCGACGTCCTTATGAATAGCTTGTTTCACGGTTAATCCAAAAGAGCAGGTGATCCCCAGGCCCAGGGATTTGCTAATACCCACTTCCTACCCTTCCCCCTCAGTCCTCAATCTGCAATTGTTTTCTGTGCTGTTTGCAAACGTTAGCCTAAGAATAGGACAATGGGGCTAGCGAGGGTCCCAGAATACTTGTTATTCCGGATGTACTTAGAGACACTTTATTTACTTGCCTTGAACTCGGACAAATTACTTAACCTCTCTGGACCTCGGGTTAATTTTTACAGTGAACTGGTTGGAGGAAATGATTCCTTCCTAAATCCTTTTAAAGATGACCACACAACAAAACCGCATTTCCCACCAGCTTGGAAAGGAGGAAAGTAACAACCGGAGCCTCAGCCACTTCTGCATAAGTGATCCTATCTATAAGGGCTTTGCATGAAAAAGAAGTAACTGGTAGTGTTAACCCTAGCTCCTCTCTTTTTGCAGCTGGAACACTGGGAGGGAATACATTCCACAGCATAAAGTAATCTTGGCAAACATATTAGCACAAAAAGCCATTCTTCAGAGATCATGTCCCATGTTCAGAATTTTTACCGCACTATCAACACAAGGGCTCCAAAAACCTCTCTCAAGATCTCTTAAACTGGTCTACTTAAGAACTTTACTTTTTATGCCTCAAGTATCCATTTTCTTCCCAACTGGAATGCACCAGATGTTGAAAGCAAACATGTAGAGATTCATACATACATTCTTCTATGTATGCATGTATATATATATGTAATGCAAAGATATCATTACTCTATTCCTATTACTATATTTTACTAAATATATACACACACCACAGGTTATACATATTACTCAATGAGTATTCAGTAAGTGCATTTACCATATCTGGTAATTAACCAGGTGCTCAAAATATACAACATAAAAGTTTGAGGAGCCTATTTGCTGCTGCTGTTGCTAGGTCGCTTCAGTCGTGTCCAACTCTGCGACCCCATAGATGGCAGCCCACTGGGCTTCCCCATCCCTGGGATTCTCCAGGCAAGAACATTGGAGTGGGTTGCCATTTAGGGCTCTCAAATCTCTTGCACTACCATTTATTATTTATATTAACAGTATATCAAGCCAAGTGTACTGAAGAATTTTGTAAGATTTTTAGAAAATTGTTATTTTTCAATGAAAGGTATTTTCTAGCCTTGTTTTTCTCCATGAAAATGTCACAGAATTAATAAAAATCTGTTTTCCCAAGCCAGGTCTTACTATATAACTATGTTATATAAATAAATAAATTTAAAGATAAGAAACAGAAACAACAACAGCAGGGGCAGATTATTAAATTGACTATATTTTCTACGCAGCATAGTTATCTTCAGATCAGGGAGAATTTATGCCAGAGCAGATGTTTTTGTCTTCAACTTTGTCCTCTAATAAAGGTCTCCACTGAGCAAATGATAACACTGCCACTGGCCATGGGAGTTTAGAGGGAAGGAATCAAAAACAGGTATATTCCCCTGCCAATGAGACAATTTCCCCCCATTTTATGTAACTCTTGTGGGTGCTAAAACCTCCAGCTTCAGCATAATTGCAAAGCAACCTATCTGTTTTTATGTAGACTTGGCAGTTTTGTTATAAATGTGGAACAGATGTAGTTGTACAGTCCTTTCTATCTCCTTCTTGCATCCTCCTGGAGAGAAGTTGGGGCGAGGCCTCTGTGAGTTGTATGTTCTTTTCTGCCCTCTCCTGTGAGCACTGAGTCAGCCTGTTTGGACTTATGCCTGACCCACATTTTATGCTCATTACTTTGTGTTCACAGATTTTTCTTCTGGATGATCTGGAATTATCAGGCTTGGGTCCTGCCCTCAGAACTCCTTCCTATGAAACACCTTAGCCTTGTACAAGACTCTGGACGCTTGCAGGAATTAAGACTTCCTTCTTTTCCTATTAAAATGTGTGTGCTAACCATTGACAAAGGCACCATAGACTTTTGTAAGATAGAATCTCAACACTTGAAATTCTTTACACGCACCTGGTTTTCTCATTGTCTCTTTCTCTCATCTCCTTTTATGGTTTTGTGAATCATTACCTTAACTCTTATCTGTAAATATCACAATCAAAGCTCTTAGAGGTCTGTGAGACTCAGGTGTAAAGAAAGGAAGATGAAAGAGATTGAAGTGGGGAGGAGCTGTTTCTGTAGCCAAACTTCTTAACCTTGAAACTCTTGTTAACAACATGAATAGTGCATGTTCACATGGGAAGGAAGGGTGTGGGAAGGAAAATATTGGAAAAGAAAATTTTCAGGCATATATTTGATCGCTGCTGTTTTTGTTTTAGTCGCTAAGTCATGTCTGACTCTTCCGTGGCCCCATAGACTGTAGCCCACCAGGCTCCTCTGTCCATGGGGATTCTCCAGGCAAGAATACTAGAGCGGGTTGCCATTTCCTTCTCCAGGGGATCTTCCCGACGCAGGGATGGAACCCATGACTCTTGCATTGGCAGGTGGATTCTTTACCGCTGAGCCACCAGGGAAGCCCATGTATTTGATACAGTAGGCCAATTCAAAGTTACCATCAGGATATTTTTGAGAGGGAGCACATTTTCCCAATGGGTAAAATATTTTTCAATTTAGAGATAAGGAAATTTGACAATGCAATAAGCAAATTCAGGGATATATATATAGGACATTTATAACAAAATTGCAAATAGATGTCTGATGTCTTGTGCAAAGTCGGCCCAGTAATATTTGTTCACTGCTCTTCAGTTCACAGTGTTTTACTCTGTGTCATATTATTTGAGCCTCAGGTCATAACTGAGAAGGAAGTATCTTTACATTTTGGGAATGAGATCATTGTGGCTTAGAGGTGGTTGAGAAAACAGGCCAGGGTCACACAGCTAATTAGTAAACAGAATCACAATTTGAATGTGTATCATCTGACTTTATGTACTATGCTTTCCCCCCATTCTAGTCTGCATCCCAATAATTTCTCTTCAAATTACAGAATAATTTTATAAATCTGTGATAAGTCACAACCCCTACAGTACTTAAAGCACCAACAAAAAGAAGTCATGATGTCATGTCACGGGTAGTTTCAGATATTGGTTCATTCAATAACCAACAAATATTTATTAACTGCCAACAATGTACCAGGCCTGCTTTGAGACANCACCAACAAAAAGAAGTCATGATGTCATGTCACGGGTAGTTTCAGATATTGGTTCATTCAATAACCAACAAATATTTATTAACTGCCAACAATGTACCAGGCCTGCTTTGAGACACTGGGGAGTTAGTACAAAATGCTTACTTTAAAAAGTCAGTCTTTGGAGGCCCTGTCCTATATTTGGACTTTTCATTCTACTACCTATGCAGACTCCACTTGCAAAGGTTTCTTAAGAATAAGACTTTAAATATTGCTTATCAAATACTGTTCTAAGTTTTAGAATGTCACATAATATCTGAAATATTTTTCTAATAAAAATGTAAATAATCTCTGTCAAAATCTGTGTTTACCAGTTAGTAGTAAATTTTATACTGCAGTTTTCTTTAACAAGATGTTCCAGGGATTTTAGTGTTATCTCAATAACATCTGTACCATACCTCTAGTTTAAGAGTGAACATTATGTGTGTTGATTTACTCTGGAAAAATTTTGAAATGTATAAGATTATAATGGTAATCACTCAAGAATCAGAGTCTGGAGTTAGAAGGGATCTAATAGACCCATTCAAGTTTGCTTTCCTAGATAACTACTGTTCAGAACAACAAAGTATGCTGAATGAAGTATATACTACTTATGCCACATTCCAGATTTTTGGAATTTTAGTCAATTCTCTGTCATGCTGGAATGGTTAATGTTGTGCCATTAAGAATGACTAATCTGAAAATATTGTTTCCTCATCTCATATTTAAGCAACTACATATCTGCAACTACTTTTGCAGCTGTGTAATAGTCAGGGATAAACAATTTCAAGTTAGTTTTTTGTCTTACTATTAAAGCATTCAAATATCCCACCTAATTCTTCAACTCTTGCTCTAATAAAGTTTTCTAGATAATACCAAGGGCTAGGCATAAACATACATAAATACAAGGCACATAATGATACTAGAACATAAATTGAAAAATTTTGAAAAGGATAGAATTGTATTGGTTTTTATCAATACTTTCTCTTATCTATCTTTTCCATGCCCCTTCTCATAACAAATGGTTTGTCTATTTTGTAATAAAAACTAAAGTTACTTTATAGTTCCTCAAAAAGTGATCATAATTTCATTAAATTAATTTCACAATTGCTTTGGACATGCTTCAAATTAGGCTAGGAGATTTCTATCATTTGTTCCATAATACTGTTTCAGTAGTATTTTTACTGTTTTATCACGTAGTTGTGTTTTTTTTTAATTGGACAAAACTTTATGTAAAACTCTTGGGTATATACTTGAGAAGTCATAACATGGAAGGCATTTTCCTTGATGAGTTCACAAGACAGCTGAAAAGATAAAACAGGGATATAATTTTGCCAGGGAAAGATTACAAACCAATATGTCAACATGCCATAGTGGAAATCAGACATAGCTGCTGAGATTAAAAGATAAAGCTCAGGAGATTTCTCGTGGCAAATGTGTCTTGTACAAGGAATTAAAAGTGCTGATAGCCATGCAAATTAAGGGCTAAATATTAGTGATAAAGACATCAAAGAGATGAGAAAATCTGATTCCTAAACGGTAGCTTCTTCTGTTATTTTGCACATGGAATGTTATTATACTTAATCTAGTAAATTATGTTGGTATGTGTTTCCTTACACAGTGACTTAAAACTGACAGCAATGTAGGCAAAGATAGTAATTTTTCTTTGCTAGAAACACATAGAATTCAGAGGATTTATGCATAACTTAAAAAAAAGTAACATATCAAAAAACTGATGAGCCCTGCCCTGTCC